ATATATATATATTTGGATAGTCACCTTATACACATATGAATTTATCAAATTTACCTAAATACCTGTTAATTGGCAAATGAACACACTGCCACACACAAATATATTTTATTCAATTTGTTTTGTTAAATATACTTTATGATATTTTCAATATAATTCATTGTAACAAAAATTGATATTCTGTGAAAATAATATATCGACCAGAACAATTCTTCAATGTTAAATATTACGACTCTATTCTTTTTTCTAATCAATTCCAAAATTAATACACTACTACAAGGAAGAAATTGAAATTATGTGATACATAACATCAAAGGTGTACCTGAAAGAAGAGATATTTTAATTATTTTCTTTTACAGGAATACGTATATTTGTGTTATTTTGTGTTATATTTTGAATTTTTTTGATATTGCTTACAAATTGTGTTGAACATGCTTACTAAAAGTTTGTTTTTATTGCACAGATAAAACAATCTGACAATATTACATATCTTTTGTTTTGGAACTCGTAAATTAATACTTTATATGTTACTGTATGAATATGTACAGATCCTTCGTTCCACCCGTACGCGATGAAGAAAGTGAAACTCAAAGGAAAGCCCATGCAAAGAGAGTAAGAGAAACGAGAAGATCTACTCAAGGTGTGACATTGGATGAGATTAAGAGTGCCGAACAATTAGTGAAGAAAAAGCAACAGAACAACGAATTGCCAACATCAACACCATCCACGCAGGTAAAGATCATATCAGCATTATTATCGCTGTCTTATCGTGTGATTGAAGAAAAGTGACTAACTTATCTGATCTGATATGTCCGAACGAATTCTTTTTAAATAGTATATCAAAATATCAAGGCAGACTTATCTAATGTGAGAGCAATAGTAGTGAATGTAATGCAGCATTAACGATTGAAAGTAAATAAATTTCATGAAGATCTAATTGAACTGGATGTCACAATGAAGTATTTGTGTTGCTTAATATCGAGAGTATATAATATTTTATTTTTTATTATATTCTTACACAAAAATAACGCAGCATGACATTTAAAATTGAGATTATGATTTTTATTCATATTTTTTTTTTAAATAATCCAGCCTTCTACTACTACTACTACAACTACTACTACTACTACTACTACTACTACTACTACTACTACTACTACTACCACCACCACCACCGTCAGCAATACAGCTTCGATCACAGCTACGATAACAACCGCAACCTCCACTACTGTGACTCCTGTGAATAAAGTTTCTGAAGAATCTAATTTACCTGAGAGACGACCGTCTTGGAGATTAAGGGTAGACAATGGAAGCAAGGTGTGTGCGCTTATAAAAAATCATTTATTTATGACTAATTCACAAATGTTCACGATCTGTATGATTGATGTTACGCCACAATGCGTTTGAAGAACTTGCGTAATGTACGGAAGTTTAATTGCTAATGAAAAGTGCGTCACGAATGTTATTGTAAAAATCAAGATTTATATTAATAATATATTTTGTTATATAGTTTCAGTTAGAGGATGCTAATAATAAACCTACTGACAATACGACGGCCTATATGAGAAGACCGTCTGGTGGAACTGGTGTACCTAGACCATCATCAGCGCCTGTAGAGACTATTGCCACTAGTAGTACAGAAACCACAGTTACTTTACCCCTTAGAAGATCGTTAAAGCAACCTGATGACAAAGGTAAAACTTTACAGAATAATTAATGTAACGAATTTAATCAGGAATTTTATATATATATTAATAGAAATACTATTAATTCATGAAGTATTGATTATTTATCTAAAAAGAAAAGAAATTTTTTTGTGTTATAGAACAAGATAAGGAAAATGATAGTAGAAACGCACAAGCTACACAAGCAGTTATTCAAAGGAGACGTCGGCCTAAGAGAAGATCGACAGGCGTAGTCCATGTAGATATGGATGTTAGTAAAAATTATGTCATAGGGTTATATTTTTTCAGAAGTATTTTAATTAATATTACTTCATAAAAGTAAGAAAGGAAGGACTTCGAATAGATTAAAAATTTTAATTAGAAGAAAATTAAGTAAAGTTAACTGTAATAAAAATTATTTGAAATAAATATATATATTTAAACATTTCTAAAAAGATTATATTTTCTTTTTTATAGGAAATTGACCCAGAAAAGCAAGATCTAACTGCTGGTGGTGATTGCGATGATTCCAAAATCAATCACAACGAAGTGAGTAATTTCTTTTCAATATAAAATATAAAATATAATTATTACAGTGTCAATTCTCCAAGCATAAACTCTAGTCTACTATTAAAAAGCAGCGCTTTAAATTCAAGTTACTTGATTTAACATAATAATGCAAAGATTAGACTATACATATGCATGAGTGTTAATTTCTGCAATAGATACTAATATATAAATATATAAATATATAAATATATAAATATAATATTAGATAAGAAATTCCACCGATCCAAAATATATTATTTCCTTTTCGGTTTATTGGTTTTTGTTTTACAATCGCATTAAAATCTTTCTAACGCATCAAAACACATCTGTTCGAATTTCGACTTACGAGCTTCTTGCCACGGATTTACCAGGCACGTGCCAAAAATCCAAAATTGGATAACGCGCAGTTAAATGACGCAGAGGGAAACACAACACTCGCAAATCGGGAAGTTTGAATATAAAACATTATCTCATTTCGATGCTGACAGCTTATTGTTTCGCAAAGTTCCAACTGTTAAACTATTACTTTATGCATAAAGAGATGCAAGTAACACGAAAAAAAGCATTTTCTTCATACAATTATTTTTTGCTTCATTCTGGAGGCTCCATAATATTCCAGCTTTTTCATTCAGTGGATGTAAGTCAGCGGTTTTCATAGGCTATCAGAGCTTCAAATTATTTTTAGCTTTTTGAAAAAATAGTCTCTGTTTTCGATAAAAATAGTCTAGCATTCATTATTTTGTCACTATATTCGAGAAATACGACATTTGATATGAAAATAGACAAAAGAATAATTGTAATAAACATCAACCTATAATTTTGCTTAATCTTAATGTAATGTTTCTATTATTCTAAATATAAAGCTATCGAAATTGATCTTGATAAAAAATTTTAATTATATTTGAGATCTTAATCGATAATTGAAACAAAAAGAAATGGTCATGGACATGACCTGGCTGTGTCTAAAAGTATTCTACCCAACGCGGTTTGGAATGACATTTAGAATCATTCCGCTTATATATATAGCATTCATGAACATGAAAAGTTTTTTATATATCGATGACA